GGTCTCTCACTGAATCTGGATCATTGACTGGCTACACTGACTAGCTAGTGAGCCCTCAGGTTCTACCTGTCCCTGTTCCCCAGTGTTGTGATTACAGGTGTGTCCTGCCACTCCTGCTCTGAACTTAGATCCTCAGCTGTGTGCAGCAAGCATTTTGCCTATTGAGCTACCTCTGCAGCCCATGTCTACTTTTCTTTAAACAGACTCTGTCTATGTCCTCCTCAGAGATAATCTCCCCTCTCCACAAACTTTGTTAAAGAAATGATTCTAGAATGTTAATTTTGTATCAAATGACCCCACTACTCTGATACATCCCAACCCAAGAGGAATTGATCCATGATTTTCTATTGATTTTCTATTTGAAATCTGAAACTCAAGTTCAAAAAATGAAGAGACTATGATGGGAATTAAGAATTGGAACCTATGTGACCCAGGGAGATTGGGAGACACCAATTTAATAATAAAAAATTTATGAAAACTGAAATACAGTGCTAAGGTAAAGATCAGCAGGGGATCAACTTGGACTGGGGGTGGGCTTTGAGAAGATGGCATTAAGCTTGGGCCATGCGAAGCCCTAGGGAAATCCTTGCAGAAAGCAAGCACAGAGGTCCTGGGGATGGAGAAACTGAGGCTGTTCTAGAGACCAGTGAGGCCAGAAGTCAAAGCATGGAGAGAAAAAGCAAGGTAAAATTAGGGTCATAATGGTCAATAGTCCAGAATGAACACAAGGGCAATCAAGAAGGAAAAGACTTCATGGTCTCCATATACTAGAATAGTATTGTGTACTAAGATAGGCATATAGACCAATGAGAAGAAAACACCCCCAAATTAGCTCAATATACTGTCAACTAATGTTTCTAAAGGGCACTGTAACCTATCAAAAGAGGAAAGGACAGTCTTCATCAAATGGTGCTGGGAATGCCCAATATGTATGTGTAGAGTGAAGGTGAGCTCACCACTCACACGTATATAGAGACTAATTCAAAGATATGTAACTATAAAACTCTTCAAAGAAAGGACTGGAGAGGGCAGAAGCAGCTAGTTTGCAGAGAGATGAGTGGAACAGAGAGAAGAGGAAAGGATGAGGTGTCACATGGATGGAGAAAAACAGCTTTTCTGTCTCGGGGGCCCAGCTGTGATAGGGATGTCTCTTTGTAAGCTGAGAATGTATGTTTCTCTTATTGGTTGATGAATAAAGATATTCTGGCCAATGGACAGGCAGAATTTAGCTAGGAGGGAATTAAAAAAAAAAAAAGAGGCAGGGAAAGAAAGGTAAAGGTCAGATGCCATGTAGCAACCAGGGAGTCAAGAAGCCTGGGCATCACTGGTAGCAAATACCACAATTTAATAGAAATGGGTTAATAATTAAGAAAGAGCTAGCCAGAAGGAAGCCTAAGCCATTGGTTAAACAACTGTAACTGATATTAAGTCTCAGAGTGGTTATTTCATTAAGCAGCTGTGGGACCCCATGGGTGGTGAGAAAACCAGTCGAGTGGGATTGAGATAGATGGAGAAAGTCTCCTTCCACATCCCTCACTTTATTCGGGTGAGACTTGCCCAGAGACTTCCAGCAAGTTCCTCCACAGTAGAGCCAGACTGAATGCACAGCTCACTCACATGCTTCCTTAAAAGGAAACAAGCGCTGGTGACCACACAGCTGAGGTCCAGGTGGTTTGCAGCCTTGGGACAGGACACAAAATGTGAGGCAGTTGCTTTCTGAAGCTAGACCCCCACTCTTTGAGAGCTGGCACACTGACTTCTCTCTCCACTCCCTCTGAGAACCCAGCCCAGTGCCTGCCAACTGGAAGAACATGAAACCCTGCTGAGAGGAGTCTGAAGAATCCTGTGGGGTGACTACAGGGATCCAAACTTCCAGATTCTTATGAAATTTACATCCAACTAACACCTGTGGAATGAAGTACTGAATCTACCCACACTACTGATCTGAATGGCCATGCTTCGTTCTGCCCTAAGACTTCTATAAGTGTGTTGTTTAAAGCCAACATTTAGGCTAAATTTCCTGGTACCCTTTTCTGAAGTCCGAGTTCTGTGGTCCCAACAGTCTTTCTTCATCACACAAGGTTAAGGAAAGTTAGAACATATACATCAGTTATTATCTTTTTCAGTCACACAGCAAGTCATCACATATGGACATTTTACATCAATAGATTCAGCCAACTGCATGGCAAATATTAGGGGGAAACTATGTCTGTAATGAACATGTGTGGACTGTTTTCTTGCTATTCACTAACATAACCACTGTTTCTCTGGCATTTACGTTGTGTTAGGCATCATAAGTGCCCAGAGGTAACTTAATGCATGTGGAGGGTGTGTGTTAGATATGTACAAAGATGCTACCTTATGTAAGGGACTTCAACATTCTCAGATTTTAGTATCCAAGGTAGTCCTGGAACCAATCCCACCACAGATACCAACATCACCTTTCTTTCAGAAACATGGAGTGGCAATTTCAGTGATCCTTAGACCCCAAAGTTGGAGTTCTTTTCATTTCATCTTTCTCAGTCATTCCAACCATCAGTGCAGAGGTCATTTTTGATATGGGAAAACTAGGCACAACGCAATTTTACAAAAGGAAAGAAACTGTTACACAAAGAATGGTTTAATCACTAAAATGGACTGTCACACCCAAATCAAAATGGTGACTCTGGAGATGACATGCACAAAAAATATTTATATAAAAATATACTAAAATGTTAATTAAAATAGTCACTTATTTATTTTTAAATGTATGAGTATTTTGCCTGCATATATGTCTGTGTCTGTGGGGGTCAAAAGGAGGAGTTGAATCCCCTGGAACAGGAGTTACAGACAACTGTGAGTCACCACAGGGGTGCTGGGACTTGAACCTGGGTCCTTTGGAATAATAGCAAGTGCTCTTAACCTGAGTCATCTCTCAGCCCTATTCAGGGATACACACACACAGAGCTCCAGAGGAAAGTCACAATAGATTGAGGAGTTTGCTTCCTCATCAAGAAGTCAGGGATGACTGGTGACTGTCAAATTCATGAATGCAGGCCTTGCAGGTGTGTTCTGGGGTCAACAACAGCAATCCTGGACTCATGTTAGAAACTCATACTATGGGTAACTCTGCTGCATTGTAGCTCAGCATCCTGTGTTTTGATAGCTTTCCTGCTGACTCTGATGTCTGTTCAGCTCACCTGCTGCTCTTAAGAACCTTCTGGTATTCTGTAATTTCCACAAATCTGTAGAGTTCACCTGTCACACCCATGCTATTTCTCTAAGCATCACCTTCACTGTTCAAAAGGGCTCCAAACTACTTGGACCCAATCCAGTCTTCATCTGACTATGAAAGTTCTATTTCTGTTATTGAATTTCAGCTTCACTACTGTGGCAGGTTAACATGCTAAGTGCTGGGTGCCATTGCCTTATCTCGTCCTCATGGCAAAGCTATAGAAGAAAATGTTAGTATACCTATTCTATGGATGAGAAAACTGAGGACAAGAAATATTTAAGGTCATGTCAGCAGTAAATGATGAAACAAGATAGACACATGCAGAGAAGGCTAGCCACTTTGTTGATGACTGGTGACAGATATGTGGAGGAGTGGAGATGTGAGCCAAAACATGCTTACTTTGTTGCTACTCCTTGCTGCCTTACCTCTGCTAGGCAGGGCCATTTGTTCACTCCCTCATGGGACATCGCTACCAAGGACCCTGCTGTCTACCCACATCTGCCATCTATTTTTTGCTGCCTCCCATATCCTACTCTCCTTCATGAGGCCTTCCATGCCATCTCTCTGAGGTTGCCTGCTAGGGGGAGGCCTCCCTCCCTGCTCCTAGCTCCTATCCTGTTATCTATCTCTATTTAGCTCTTCCTACTCTGAATTATACTCATGCTCAGGCTCTTATATTGACAATGACTGACAGAACAGGCACTGAGTCAATCCACGTGTCTTTGATGTGGCTATACTCATTCTCTACATGATCTTTGGAATCTGCTCAGTTCCTTAAGAACAAAGACCAAACCTCTTATTTTATACTTGCAAGATACTCAGCCCTGGGCCAGGCACACAGTCTAGTCTATTATATATGCTTAGAATCAAATGGAGGGCCACTGGTACTCAACTCTGGTGTGGGCTGTTCTCCTATTTAAACCCTGTAATGATGCAGCTTATATTAACAGTGGGTATCTGGCTACTATGCTAGTAGACAGAAACAACTCATTTTTAACTAACGGAATAGTAGAGTTAATGTTCTTAATTGTGATAATTAATAACCAGTATAGTCTATAAGCACATTTTCTGAAACTGGTTCAAATCCCATGCAATTAGAAGACTAAATCACAATGTTATCTTTAAAAACTAAGTCTACCAATGCTTTCATCCCTTTGGAGTGGATGGGGGATGGGATGGGGGTGGGGGACATGGGAGAGAGAGGGAACTGGGATTCATATGTAAAATAAGAAAAAACTAAATAAATAAAAAAGAATATACACTCTAAAAATTCATATCACAAACTCTAATGTTTCATTATAAAAATTAGATATTTTCATTTTAGACATTTATTATCTGTTACAGTTAGGTCCAACTAATAGGCTTTTAACAGGAAAATATCTCATATATTCTAACTCCTGTCCCATACCCAGAAAACAAAGATAAAATCATTAAACTTTTCAAACTAGATCTGTAAACTTGTAGGAACAAGATAATATAAAAATGAAATGCTATCTTATTAATTTATAAATAACTTAATTCTATGAACTGGTTAATAGAGAAAAATACCAAGCCAAAATATATTTTATCAGTCTGGAAGACATGAGGTTAAATGTACATAGCAATGAAAAGAAATAAAGATGATCAATTGACCATAACCTTTCAGCAGTTACTGATTCCAATTAAACCTTGACATGGCACACATACAGTTTAATAGTAAATACACAACAAAAGGGGCTCATGAGCTTGGCAATGGCCTCTAAGCCTGAATCAGTGTACCACTACTGAACAGACAGCATTAACTTACCAGCTCCACGGATCCATAATGTTTCCTACTGAAATCCCCACGTCTACAGCCTAGGTCTTCTGAGACAGAGCTGGAACAAAAATGCTTCATCAGTATTATACATAGCGATCAGGCTATACACCTTCTGAGGAAAAAAAAAAAAAAAGCTGCTGTGGAACAGATTTGCAGTGCCTGGGCACCTCACTGCAGGGGAGCCTCCTTGCAACAGACACTGTCCCCAGCAGCCATTGCAGAGCCAGGCTTTCATGAGTCCTCAGTCAAAAGAAAAACATCCAAGTCATCCCTAGAAGTATAGGGAATGACTGAATTAAATGTTAAGTTCATTTGGAATCAATTGAAATTCCCAAAGCTATTGGTGGATTATGATTTCATTCTGTATTACCGAGGGATGGCAGCCCTGCAGGAACTTGAGGCAAGGGACAAAGCTGCTGAACCAGATCTTGCAATTATCTTTTGCTTAAAGAGAGTAGAGTCTCTTTGTCCCAAATATGCAACATAAAAATAACCAGCACCATTTAAAGCTGTATTTTAAGAAGGAGACAAAAATTCCCAAATCCTCATAAGCTCCCCCCTTCCCCAGTATTTAAGATTTTTACGTGTTAACACGAGGGGGGGGGAGAAAGGGAGAGAGAAGGAGAGAGAGAGAGAGAGAGGGAGAGAGAGAGAAAGAGAGCAAAACAGAAAATATAAAAATCTAACATCTGAGTATATTTATTTTTGACATGGCAGCAAGTAATACTTCCCATCCTCCCCTCCATCACCACCAAAACAGGCTTAAATCAGATAAGCAAACTCACATGCTACGGTCCAAGAGCAATTAAAACAAAGACGAAAATTGCTACTGCATTTGCATCTTGCATGCATAGTTCCCCTCTCAAAAGGCACATACCTTATTGGCTGCTTAGTCTACCTAGGACTCTACATAGCACCCATGAAAATAGCAGAGATTGCCCCAGTACAAACAGTTTTAATAAGTTTGGCTTGATTATGCATGCAAACAGCTCTAATACAACAGAAAATAAAATTCCACAAGAGCCACATTTCATCTATTCAAACTAGTTGGACTGTCACACGTAGAGACAGGTGTGCTCGGTACCTTTTCATCCTTCCTTACAAGGTAGCTACATTTTCTAACTTACAGCCCTCTTGGCACATTCAGAGAGACTGACTCTGATGTTCAGCATTCACAGAGTTGACACTCTGCCAGGACACTGTTTGATAGGCTCCAAGAAAGACAGCATGAGAGAAATGAGATTAGAGTCTAATGGTATTCTGCCTCCACCATTTCACAGAGATGGCTGAATTCATCTTAGACAAGAAAGTTAACCTTTTCTTGTCCTCACTCCTTTAGCTGAAAACGTATGGCACATCAAAGAATACAATTTGGAAGGGGTGCCTAAGCTACCTTCCTGCCTGGATGGACACCCTTCTCCCCTCACTCAAGACACAAAATTTCTCTAAGAGATACTAGAACAAAGCTCCACTTGTTTATTCCAGTCTGGCCTCTCTCTCTGCCCATTTGTGGAGTGTGATCTCAAAATGCTCTTGGAGACACTGTCCTTGCCCTGCATTTTGATTCCAAGGTTCTCTCCTGTAAGGCTGGGTTACTGTAGATAGCAGATGTCCTTCAGAGGTGGGTCTCTGCATGGCAAAGCCCAGGCCAACCCCAGCTTTGGTTTCAGACAGGACCATGATTAAGCTGGCAGCAGCAGCAGCAGTAGCAGCAGGTGGTCAAACTCCACAAGCCCAACATGAAAAGCAAAGAACCTTCTCTGTTGAGAAGGTTCTAGGACATGGTGTCAGCTCTTTATCTTTGCCAATAGCCAGAAACAAACACAGCAACAATGATAGCTCTCAGTCCCATGACTATATACCATGCTAGAGTATCTACCTTCCCTAGATGTCTCTTAGAGGGACAGCAGCACCCCACGAAAATGATGAAAGAAGCCACAGTTATAGAACATCTGCTGTCGGCTGCCCTTTCCTCCCTCTAATTACATTCCCTCTAGTACTCTGCAGACAGCTTGCTCATGGTGAGAACCAGTGTTGGGGCTCATATCTTGGCCTGCAATAGGCATCCAAAGTAGTTATGTCAGAAATCCCTCCCTCCCCAGGTGTCCACACATGGGTTCCCAGTGGCAGAGTTCATCCAAAGCTCTACAAGGAACTTTGATTGCTCCCAGCAGTACTGTTTCACCCACTGCCTGGCACAGCAAGCATACACTCCTGGATGAATATACACATCATCCAGATCTCCTAGCCAGTGCCTCACAGCACTCTTGGTAAGTGCCAAGGCAGGCCACATGCTGGGTTCTCCCTGCTGGGCCTTTTCAGTCTCTCCATTTAGGCAGGCCTGGCCCTCAAGGTAGGTGCATCTGTGTGTACTAGATTGACAAACTTACTCCTTTCTACTAGGACTTTGTTTCATCTTGTGATGAGACCATGTGATCTAGCTCTAGTTAAGGCAGGATGGAACAAAAATGGCATACACTGCTTGTAGACATCCTGGGAGGTGCAATAGCCTCCCTGGTGTAGCAGGGTGGCAGATTCCAAAGGCCCACAGCAGGACAGAGCTTCAAGATGAAGAAATCTAGTCTCTGTGTGCCTGTGTGGATGGCATCGAAAGTGGAATGGGAGGCACACATTTGGCAAAGTAAGTGTCTTACATGGGATGTTGTAATCACAATCACATAATATGTGGCCCAGATTTAGGAGACAGAAGTGATAAAAAACCTGACCATGGGGGCTAGACAGGCAGTTATCTGCCTTACACAGCTGTAAAACATTTGGTAAAAGTGACATCTATAGCCAGTCAGAAGGTGGACCACACACCTTCTGAGGCTACAGCTCCTGGAAAGGGGAAGTGGCAGAATTAGAATGAAGGCATGTGCAGGCTCCCACTGGCTTTTTCACAGGGAAGAAAGCAGGTTCTGGAAAGACCTAGATGGGTGTTCTGGTTTGTTTTCATTATCAACTTAACACGACAAAATCACGCTCAAAGGAAAAGTATCTACTTGGGATCCCAAGACCAAGTTCTCAGTAGGAAGGATATTTATTTGCTCAAAGGACAGAGCGTAGGGAATAAGAGACAAAGACAGATAAAGGACAAGGGAGAAGGGGAAAGGAAAAAGTGGGCCAGGTGGATCTGGCCTGGAGGGACAAAGGACTACCTCTGTTTAGAGAAGAGACAGACATGGCACATAGCAAAATGGCAGTTGTGGAGGTACAAGGGGAAAACCCATGTTAAGATGAGGTATTTGATTTTGATTGGGCATGTTAATTAGGTGAGCCAAAGGGGGCTTCTGATTGCTGGACTTTAATACTTTGATTGCTGGACCTTGGTAGTCAGCCTCAGGAGAAGGAAGTGGCCAAATAAGGAAACAGACCTTGGTGACTACCTTTAGGAATGTAATCTCAATGTTTTTAACAAGGCAGAGGGAATGGCAGAGAAAAGCAAGTCTTACCACACCTGAGCTGGCCAGAATCCCTTCAAAGGGATCCTCAACTGAAGTACTGCCTGAGTCAGACTAGACTGTGGCCATGCCCATGAGAGATGGTCATCACTGATGACAGATGTAGGAGGGCCCAGTATGCTATAGGAGCCACTACCTAGAGGAAGGTGGCCTGGGCTGTATAAGCCAGCTAGCTGAGCATCAGCCATGAACAAGCCAGCAAGCAACACTTCTCTATTGTTCCTGCTTCAAGGTCCTGCTCTGAGTCCCTCATTCATAGATGGTAACCTGGAATTATAAGCTGAAATAAACCCTTTCTTCCCTTAGGTTGCTGTGGTTAGAGTGTTTTTTTACCACAACTACAGAAAAGCAATCTAGAACTATAGATTTGTTTGTTTTTGTTTCAAGACAGGGTCTCTGTATGTAGCTTTGCAGATCAGGCTGGCCTTAAACTCACATAGATCCACCTGCCTCTGCCTTCTGAGTGCTGGAATTAAAGGTGTGTGCCACCACTGCCCAGCTAGAATAATGGATTTAAGTAAAGATAGAAATACAGAGACTCTACAGAGCAAGGGTTCAGGTAATTCAGAAATCAGTTTCTGAACCCCAAGCAAGAGCATTCTGGCCAATGAAATGTGGTAGGTCTGAACCTTTTCTGGATCTAGGCAGCAGCATTTCCTGTGAACAATCTGTGGTCTGTTTCCTTATCCAGAAGCTGGAATGGAGAGGACTGAGAGGACCACAGAGGGCACAACAACAACAGGGATGAGGCTTAGTCTTAGGAAGCTACAGAGAAGAATCAGAGTAGGAATAACCTCACTGGGCTGTGCTCTGAATGAGTAGTAGCACACGGCTTGAGAACACTAAACATTAGGTTTGTCTATTGCAAAAAAGCATTTTTAATTGATTTTTTTTCTTTTGGTACTGGAGACTGAACCTAGGGCCTCGTGTGTTCAAGTGCTCCACCACTACATCCCTAACCCAAGTTTTGTTTCTTTGCTTTAACTTTCTATTTTGGAATAGAGTCTGGCTAAATTACTTAAACCCACCTTGAACTTGGATTCTCCTCCTTCAGTCTCCAAAACAGCTGGATGATAGAACTGTACCACTAGGCACAGCATAGCAACTTTTTTGTGCTAGATGCCTGGTGAGCAAGGGCTTTCTGACATAACTACTTTGAATGCTCCCTGCAACCCAAGAAATAGGACTCATGGCCAGTTTACACCATGAGCAAGCTCTCCGTAGCTAACTGGAAGAAGTGTAAATGTAACTTCCATAGAGAGGGATGTAGTAGGCACATTACCAGGATGGCTCTCCATCAGGATAACAATCCACTGTCTACATTAAAAGCAATTTTCTTGGAACATAGCCACACCTATTTATTATGGATGGTCCAATTGCTTTGACATTACAACAGTGGACTTGAATAATTCCAACAGAAAACCTAATGACTTATAAAGCCCAAGCTATTTACTGAGCAGTTCTCAAAACAACAACAAAAAACACATTGCTGCCAGGCGTTGGTGGCACATGGCTTTAATCCCAGCACTGGGGAGGCAGAGGCAGGCAGAGCTCTGTGAGTTTGAGGCCAGCCTGGTCTACAGAGAGTTCCAGGTCA